GCGACTTAGGGGACCCAGGTCCTGAAGGCAGGAACGTGAGTACCACCGCATGTGTGCCCACTGCCCCGTGGGCACCCACCATCCCACACACCCCATTGCCCCAGGGGTACCCTCCACCCCACAGGACACACCACCCCATGCATCCCTCATCCCCTCCTCTCCTCACCTCGTCCCTCTTTCCCGCAGGGCAGCCCCCGCGCGCCAGTTTTTTTTGATGCAGGGCCACATGCCTGGCCCCCAGCCCGGAGCCAGCCCTACCCTCCCAGGGCCCGTGCCAGCTCCCCTTAACCCACTTCCCTCACCCTTTTTTCAGGGGCCTCCCGGACCCCCAGGACGAACCGTAAGCTCTGCCCCCCTGCCCCTCTACCTGCACACAGGCTGATGCCTGGCCCTGTGTGCTCTGACAGCCCCTCTCTGCCCCATGGGCAGCGTTGGGTTAATGGTTGGAGTTGATGATCTTAGAGGTCTTTTCCAACCTAAAGATTCTATAATTCTATCATTCTACAGGTGGATGTGGGGCTCGGAGGAGCAGGGGAGAAGGGTGAGAAGGTAACGAGTGGGTCCCCTGGGATGCTGGCAGTGGGATACCCCATGCTGTGCCCCTCTGGGCTCTGCCTGTGCACTGGGTGGTGCACTGGGATCCTGGTGCACTAAGCCCTCCCTGCCCAAAGCAGCCCATGCCACGTGGGGCTGACGTGCACCATGGCTGAGAGCCATGTGGGATTGGGGGGCACATGGCATCCGGGGGGGCTTGTGGGCTGATGCTCCTGTCCAGTGCCGGGAGGAGGGTACCAGGGTAGGAGGTCCATGTAGGGCTGAGATCCTCGAGTAGCTCACGGCTCCCCAGCCCTGCAGAGATCCCGCAGGACTATCCCCCACCCCTCGGGCTGTTCTGCTTTACGAGCCAGCACAGGCTCGGAGCAGTTTTGGCCACGGGCTGGATGGCATCGTGGTCCCTGACCATGGCTCGGCTGGCTCCTGGCTCAGCAGGGCTGCTCATTGCCTTCCTTCTTCGACCACTCTCTGTGGTGCCCGTCGCTGTATTTTAAGACATTCGTCATTATCCCGCCCTTAAACCGCGCCGCGTGAGCAGGGGTGCTCAGCGTGGGCTCTGGCACAGGGGCTTGGCCGGCAGTGGGGCAGTGCCCTCTAACCGCGGTGCCCTTCCCTGGCAGGGGGAACCGGGGGACCCTGGTGAGGACGGTGCGAAGGGCAGCCGGG